GGAAAGAGTCTCTTTCTATTTTACTCAGACTCACCAGATATATGCTTGCTGAAGAGCTGAAAAGCATTAGGGCAAGGTATACAGGACTGGTTTGTAATGAACATGCTTCAGTAATTCCACTTGAATTCCACTCAAGCACAAACCAGTGCTAGAGCCAAAATACAAAGTGGTTAGCTGGCTGGACTGCTCTACTGTAGCCAGCTCTTTGTTAACTCATATACCCATGCTTGCTGCTTTTATGCTCTTGTAAGTCATTTTTATGTTTTTTTTTTTTTTAAAGTCAGTCTATTAATCTTTTTTTTTATGTGAATAGATTGCCAAGCCCAGTACCCCAGCTGGTAACACTTCCCATTAAGGTAACATTAATACAGATTTTATGAATAATTAATATATGATTAACAGAAATGGCTTTTCCCCTAATAAATTATGGTAATTTGTGCTATAACACTTTCTCAGGGCAGGCTGAAATAATCTTATATGCTCCAATACAGATGTGCTTTAAAAAAAGCTTTCTTCTAACACAGTATTAATTATTTTGAGCTCATTTACACACATCTCTGCAGATGCTACCAGTAACTTATCTCACAGCAGTTTACTAGAAAAGCGTCTGCTCTGCAGTTATCAATAACATTATAAAACATTCATATACCTTTTCTAATCCCTAGGGCTCCCAAGGCTGCTTAGAAATTATACATACAGAGTGTCTGGAAGAGACAGCATCCCACCGCATGGGCAAATGGAGGGGAGATGGATAATCATGGGGAACACAAAGTTTCAGGCACCTTTAATCCCCCACACAGAACAGAGCCGAGTTCTGCAACACAGCGCTGCACGTCAGGCCACTCCAACAGCTACCTCTGAGCTATGGAAATTGTGTATTCCAAATCTGTTTAAATCACCATCTTATCTTAACTATGTGGATTACAAAAGTCACCTAGTTTTAAGGCATTAATCTTCAGTGCGTAAAGGAACAGTGTCTTCAGATATTTCGGTGGTCACCTATTTATTTCTAGAGGATAAACCACACTATTTGTGTTCAGAGGGGAAGATATGTATTTGTAACTTAATTTTAATTTTTAATCTTGTATATATTTTTTTTTGTCTTGTTAAACTATCTTGTATATCATCTGAGCATTTTAATTTTGAAGCACGCAGGATGTTAAGAATAGAGACTTAATATCTGGGTATAGATTTCATAATTTTCTTGCTGTTCCCATCATCTCTGTGTGTTCACATAGGATTTTACAAGCAATAATTGACTTTGATTCCCCTCTATGTTTCTGTTGACAAAACAGAGCCCCAGAGAGGACAGCCCTCACAAGAACCTCTTCCCGCAGTTCCTCTCCCGGCACTATGTCAAGCTTACAGCTCTTCGAAGCACAGGTGAAACTGAACTGTGCTGCCCCGGGACGATTTCAGCACCGGGACCCTCCTTCTGCAAAAAGTGGAGTAGAGGGGAGCAAAGATAAATCTTGAAGTGAGCATCCCCGATAGCCAGCCTTGCAGACCCCCCCGCGGATGGGGGCAGAGAAAGGAGTCAGGATCCTGTGCCTGGAGGGGCTGCCATCCTGCACAGCCCGTCACAGCTGCAGCAGCAACCTGGCTTTCCCCAAACCAGACTCCGCTGTATGCTGAGAGACAGAGGTGACCTGGCTCTTCTGCTGTGCCTGCTGCCCTCACAACTGATGTCTGCCTCTCTCTCTTTCTTTACTAAATTGTTCCTTTGTCTACGTCCAGAACTGACTCCTCTACTAACACACGGGGTTGACTGATGAACACATGCCACACTTTGGTTTGATCAAGATGAGACAAAATGAAAAAATTACCAGCGCAGTACATGGCATAACCTTTCTTTGCTGGTCTGCAAGAAGCTGGACTGTTAAAGTTTTAAGTCTTAATGCAGTCTTTTTTGTTTTTCTGCTCTACCTGTTAGATAGGTAGGTTTGAAAAGTGTTAGAAATCCTCGAACCCTAATTTAAGAAAACATCTTGTTCAGTTGACTTCTAAGTTTACGCTTAAATCTACTGCAATCAACGGATTTAAGATACGGTAAGAGTTAAGGTAACCTGTAAGAATGTTTTGTCCTGCACTGGGACAGTCATATGACAACAGAGGTGCCTTTCTGACCTACGGCCCCAGCTCAGGGCTGGGGTGCAGTTGGGAAGAGTAACTGGATATTTGGACCATGGAATTAATTTCTAGAATACAATGTAATAAATCAAAACTTATAAACTGTGTTCTAAATAATGTCTAAGCAGAATTCAGCCTTAATTTCCATTTTGTAACAGAACTAATCCTCCCTTCTCACCAGAGCAGCTCAGTTACTGTATTTTACTATTTACTTGGAAGAGTCTGAAAATCCAGCAAAGAGAGAAACTGCAGTTAAAGGAAGTTAACATTATAAACCATTAAACAATGAAGGCATCACCACAAGCAGCAATACATATAGTCCTTAGTCTTCTGTATGAGGAAGGGAGAACCAAGAGCTTCCTGAAAACCATTGAACAGCTACAATAGGATGAGACTGAATTCAAAATCAGGCTACAAAAAGGAGTATAGAAGTACTTCATATTTAGAGTAGCCATTTTTCATTGCAGTTCCAGGATTCTCCTTTCTTAAATTAAAAGACAATTAGATTGTGCAACAACAGAATGCTAGAAAAAAATATTTTAAATGTCTGCAGCTCCCACTGACAAAAACAATTTTGTACTATGGGTTAGCAAATAATGACACATTATGAAGCTTTTTAGGATAAATTGAAGTTTTAAAAATTATATTAAAGCATCAATAGCAACACAAAGTTAGGTTAAATTAATTTATCACTTAGAAAACATACATTTCAAGGTAAAACTTATGGCAAATACTTTTTTAGACTAAGAAGTTGAATAAATGCTGTTTCAGTGATTTTTTGATAAATCCTGTGGCTCGTACACCTCTATATATTTACATTTTTATTGGTGTTTTGATTAATGTATTAGTACTCTTAACTTCTTCCCTGAATAAGAGTTGGGTTTTTTTATAATTAACTTTAGGCTTGTGTGGCCATGCATTAAGAGGTTTAGTCTCAATAGTCACATGCAATGCACATAGAGGCATTTTTATGCATCAGATGGTTACTATTTGACTGGTACTACAGTCTAACTGGTTTATGACTAGTTTCAGCAGTTAATATGAACATTCAAAACTCCCTAGAGTTACAAGGGGAAACGTACTTTGAGTGCTCAATGTTGTTAGGTAGCATTTGTGACAACTGGGAATGTGGATGTTGAAAAGGTAACAAACGCAATGATCCAGGGAGCTTAGACTCACAAGTGTAAAAACCTCCTCAGTCATGACTATTAAAGGTGCAAGCAAATAACATGAAGGATCTAGCAGAGACGACAATAAAACTCCGCTCAA